TTTCCTTCTTCTCCTTCTCTCTTTCCTTCTTTCCCCTTTTTCTTCCCTTTTTCTCTCCTTTTCCTTTCTCCTCTTTCTTCCTTCCCTTTTTTCTTTCTTTTCTTCTCTCCTTCCTTCTCCTTCTCCTTCCCTCTCCTTTTTTCTTTCCTTCTCTCTCTTTTCTTCCTTCTCTCTTTCCTTTCCCTCTCTCATTCTCTACATCTTCCCTCCTTCCTTCGCTCCCACTTTCCTTCCTTCTTTCCCTTTTTTCTTTCCTTCTCTAACTTTCCTTCTTCCCCTTTTTCTTCCCCCCTTTTTCTCTCCTTTCTTCCTTCTCTACCTCTTTCCTTCCTTCCTTCTCTCTTTGCTTTCATGGTTCCTTTTCCCTTTCCTTCTTACTTTCCCTCTTTCCTTCTTTCCTTCCTTCTTTCTTTCTTTCTTTCTTTCTTTCCTTCTTTCCTTCCTTCTTTCTTTCTTTCTTTCTTTCTTTCTTTCTTTCTTTCTTTCTTTCTTTCTTCTCTCTTCTTCCCTCCCTCTTTCTTCCCTTTTTTCTGTATTGACATTTAGCTTTTGGGGGCTTTTGAAGCCCCTTCTGCTGTGTTTCTCAGTGTTTTTATGAGTGAAGGACATACATTGGGTTGTTAGATGTCTTGTATCCAAATTTGGTGTCAATTCGTCCAGTGTTCTTTGAGTTCTGTTAATCCCACAAACGAACATTACATTTTTATTTATATAGATGAAATATGGAATATTGGGATTTGATGAGTCTATAGAATGTTATGGCGTCGAATTGCATTGATTATACAATGGAGATGTACCATCGCTTAAAGATTCCCAAACTGTTTCAATACAAGGGTCTTTGTCTACTAGTGAAAAGAGATTGCAGGGTTTCTTGTGGGAGGGACTTCCATCAGCCATTGAGAAGGTATGTTCTCATTTGTACCTCTGATGGTGGTGGGACCAAGAGGAAGCCTTCACATCAGTGACCTTCAGATTTGGTCAAAGTTGTATCAATGTTTTCCAGGCACAACTTCCATAATTCCATTGCCAGTTTCATCAATGACCTTGAATCTAAACCATTGCGCAAGCCTTTGTTCAAAGGTAGCATTTGCAAGAGGGCAGTTGCATCACGTCCCTCAAATGAAGACATCACCCAAGAAGAAATCTGCTTCCCTTGCCAAAGAATGGTAGCCACAGCCCAGAACTTATGGAAGGTCAGGTTATGATTATGACAGGGAGAGAAAGCTACAGCCAACAAAACGCTGGCTGGTAAATAATTATGTCAACCCTGAGGGCATTTCTAAACCATAAAGTTGTCTTCTGGAGAGTATAAAAGGGTTGTCTACCAGCAGTTCCTCCATCAGTTCCTTCCAGCATCCAACCTCAACTCTTGACTTCTGCTCTTTGGAGAACAGGTGAGTTGGAATGATTTGCTCCTGCATTCTCTCCTTCTAATTCTGGGGTGGGAAATATGTAGTCCATCTAAAGTTGGTGGGTTCCAGTTCTAGAGGTCTACCAAAATTGATTCTGCTAGCTAGGCATGATGGGTGTTGGAGTTTAAGAAACTCCGGACAGTTGCAGGTTGTCCTTTAACTTTTTCTTGATCCTGGGATGACTATTGGGATTTTTCATGAAACCTACTTATATATTTTTTAAATATATAAAAAATATCAACTTCCCAATGGAAATGACCTCCCAGTTCTACGTTTACTTGACTATAATGTTATCCTACCTGATAGAACAAGTCCGTCATATTAAAAGTAGAGATGAAAACAAAGCAAATACCAGCTCTATGGAAGTTTGGTTGCAGGATCTAGAGATTCCTAGAGGAAGCATCTCTCTAGACCAGTGGTTCTCAACCTGGGGTCCCCAGATGTTTTTGGCCTACAACTCCCAGAAATCTCAGCCAGTTTACCAGCTGTTAGGATTTCTGGGAGTTGAAGGCCAAAAACATCTGGGGACCCCAGACTGAGAACCACTGCTCTAGACATCTCTTTAGCACAATTGTATGGTCACCATCCAAAGGAAGTTGATGATAGTTGTCCAACTTTGGGTTTACTGAGGAGCTGGCAGTGATGAAGCGAAGGAAGAGGGAACTAGAGAGCGTGTGGCGTTCGGATCCGAGCGAGTCAAATCGAACACGGTTTGTGTCCTTTTTAAGGGCATATGCCGCGGCAATAAAAGCCGCAAAGAAAACTTTCTTTGCGGCCACTATTGCGTCTGCAAGGAACCGTCCGGCGGAGTTGTTTCGGATTGTCAGAGGTCTTTTAACTCCCGCCACCTCAGGCGGGAGCCCTGACAATTCGGTCACGCGCTGTGAAGCATTTGCTCGGTTCTTTGCAGACAAAGTCGCTTTGATCCGTTCTGGTCTGGGCACCATGTTAAATGCAGTCTCTGAGGATGTGACACGAGCACCTGCTTGTCCTATTTTGATGGATTCTTTTCAATTTGTGAAGCTCGAGGATGTGGACAAGATACTTGGAGGAATGAGGCCCACTACGTCCATCCTAGACCCCTGCCCATCCTGGCTTCTGAAGGAGGCCAGAGGGGGATTGGCTGAGTGGGTAACGGTGGTGGTTAACGCCTCCCTTCGGGAAGGCAAGATTCCAGCGAGCTTAAAACAAGCTATTATAAAACTGCTGTTTAGAAAAAACCACCACTTGTCCCCACTCAATTGAACAACCTTTGGCCTTTGTCCAATCTCCCCTTTTTGGGTAAAGTCATGGAACGTGTGGTGGCCTCACAACTCCGAGTATTCTTGGAGGAAACTGATTATCTGGATCTAGCACAGTCTGGCTTCAGACCGGGACATGGAACTGAGACGGTCTTGGTCGCCTTAGTGGATGATCTGCGCCGGGAGCTAGACAGGGGGAGTGTGTCCCTGTTGGTGCTCCTGGACCTCTCAGCGGCCTTCGATACCGTCGACCACGGTATCCTTCTGGGGCGTCTTGCGGAAATGGGCCTCGGGGGCACTGTTCTGCAGTGGCTCCGGTCATTTCTGGAGGGCCGCACCCAGAAGGTGTTATTGGGGGACACCTGTTCAACGCCACAGCCTTTGACTTGTGGGGTTCCACAGGTCTATACTGTCCCCCATGCTGTTTAATATCTACATGAAGCCGCTGGGTGAGATCATCCGGAGTTTCGGGGTGCGGTGTCATCTGTACGCAGATGATGTCCAACTCTGTCACTCCTTCCCACCTGCTACTAAGGAGGCTGTCGAGGTCCTGAACCGGTGTCTGGCCGCTGTAATGGTCTGGATGAGGGCGAACAAATTGAAATTAAATCCAGACAAGACAGAGGTACTCCTGGTCAGTCGCAAGGCCGAACAGGGTATAGGGTTACAGCCTGTGTTGGATGGGGTCACACTCCCCCTGAAGACGCAGGTTCGCAGCTTGGGTGTGACCTTGGACTCATCGCTGAGCCTGGAACCCCAGGTTTTGGCGGTGACCAGGGGAGCATTTGCACAGCTCAGGCTCGTGCGCCAGCTGCGCCCGTACCTCGGGAAGTCTGACTTGGCCACGGTAGTACACGCTCTGGTCACATCCCGCCTTGACTACTGCAACGCTCTCTACGTGGTGCTGCCCTTGAAGATGGCCCGGAAGCTCCAGATAGTCCAGCGCGGCAGCCATGTTACTAACAGGAGCGGGACGCAGGGAGCACACAACGCCCTTGTTGTCCCAGCTCCACTGGCTGCCGATCTGCTACCGGGCCCAATTCAAGGTGCTGGGGTTGGCCTACAAAGCCCTAAACGGTTCCGGCCCAAAATACCTTTCTGACCGCATCTCGGCCTATGAGCCCACGAGGACTTTGAGATCGTCTGGGGAGGCCCTTCTCTCGATCCCGCCTGCCTCACAAGCACGCCTGGCGGGGACGAGGGATAGGGCCTTCTCAGTGGTGGCCCCCCGGCTGTGGAACACCCTCCTTGTAGACATCAGACAGGCGCCCTCCCTTTTAACATTCCGCAAGAGTCTAAAGACATGGTTGTTTGTGAAGGCGTTTGACTAAGTGCTACAACAATTTGGCAATGATGATTGGAACGGAATATGGATAACGAGATTGGATTGTGATTCTATGATGAGACATCGCGAAGGATTTAGTGTATTTGTATTATTAATAGTGATGTTGTTGTTGTTGTGATATTGCCTTTATTGTAAATTGTTTTTTTATATGTTGTACACCGCCGTGAGTCGCCCTAGGGCTGAGAACGGCGGTCTACAAATGCAGTAAATAAATAAATAAATAAATAAATAAATAAATTGGAAGTCTTTGAGATCCCAAGACAGATGTTCTCTTAGATTTTCCCACTTTTGTAGAGGTCCTGGACTCCTAAACCAAGAAAATGTGAAGGGATGGTTGTACAGTTGATCATCTGACCTTGATACCCCAAATTGTCAGTCATGTTTCAATTACCTTAGAAGCCTGTCGGGGAAAAGAATCTATAGAGATCCCAAAATTGGCATGAAAGGAAGTCCATGCCAGATCTGCTATATGTAAGCGCTATGACAGATCTGAACTGCTCCTGCTCTTGCTAAAGCCTCTGAGATGCCACTTTCCATGTCCACCTAATACCCCACTGTTCACTCCACCAGCAAAGGAAGTTGGTCACCATCCAAAGGAAGTTAATGATAGTTGTCCAACTTTAGGTGGACAACTACATTGGAAGTCTTTGAGATCCGAAGACAGATGTTCTCGTAGATTTTCCCACTTTGTAGAGGTCCTGGACTCCTAAACCAAGAAAATGTGAAGGGATGGTTGTACAGTTGATCATCTGACCTTGATACCCCAAATTATCAGTCATGTTTTAATTACCTTAGAAGCCTGTCAGGAAAAGGAATCTGTAGAGATCCAAAAATTGGCATGAAAGGAAGTCCATGCCAGTTCTGTCATATGTAAGTGCTATGACAGATCTGTTCCGACTAAAGTCTCTGAGATGCCACCATCCATGTCCACCTAATACCCCACCGTTAACTCCACTCGCTGACCTTTCTGTGTTTTTCTTTCCAGATCTTCCTCCACTTTTGACACCATGACTTTCGGTTGGGGAAACTGTGGCTACGGCTGTAATGTCGCCTGTGAATCGCAATGTCCTCCCTCCCACGTCTACATCCAACCTCCCTGCTACGCCGTGACCATTCCTGGGCCCGTGATGCACTGTGATACCGAACCTTGTGCTGCATCCAGCCATACACCTTGTGGCTATGGGAGCTGCGGCTATGGCGGCTACGGTGGTTATGGCGGTTATGGTGGTTATGGCGGCTATGGTGGCTATGGCGGCTGGGGTTACGGTGGCCGGGGATGTGGTTATGGCGGCTGGGGAGGCTGCGGTTATGGCCATTGTGGATACGGTGGCTGGGGAAATAGATGTGGATATGGTGGCTGGGGATATTAAACCTGCTACGCTCCTCAAAAACCTAGAAGAGGACTCCCGAAACACAAGAAACGACCCAGCAATGGACTCTTGACAAAGACCTGTGGCTGAGATTTTGCACCTGGGTGCCAGAAAGATGGGTATGCACAATCTCTGACATTGTGGCTGCTCTTCAAATCTCTGAACACCCAGGCCTTCATGTTCCTTGATCTTCTCTATGCCTCTTGTATTCTGTTTGCTCCCAGACAGCTCCATTGTCCTCTCTTCTTCCACCATGTTTCAACATCTTCATCCATCTTCTCTGCTCCTGATGGAAAAGATCAGAGTTCAATAGTAAGAAGTCCCCAGCTTGCTATGAAACTTCAGCTTCCGATTTTTGGAGCTGGACCTTACCATCATGAGAAGTTCTGTCGCAGAGTTGTGGGAGTCTGATGTTGTGGCATTCCAGTTCCCACCATACCTGACCAGTATGGCCAATGGTCAGGGATGAAGGGGGCTGTGGTTCAAGAAGATCCCCATGTTCCCCCATTGCCCCATATCTATGGGGAAGTTCATTAGATGAGCCTATCGTCGATGGATGGTGGTGGGGGGCGATGAGACTCAGTTTAGTCCACGTCTGTAAAGACCACAAGGAATTTTCACCACTTGTAAACTGAATATTGCTTTTCCTGTTTTGTGTACTACTGAACAGTTTTGGAGACATGTCGTTATCTGTTTTCTTTATGCTTCTTCTGAAATCGTGCCTGCTTTTAATGACATTAAAAAACATCATACATCATTTTACTTGTGCATTTGTTTTGCTTTAGTGGTGTTGGATGTGATATTATATAAAAAAAGTTGGCTATCTATCTATGTGTGTATGTGTACACACACACACACACTCCATGACTCATTTTGCATGGAACTTGCCTCTCAAATTTTGGACCATCTTGAAGGCCTTCAATTGGACCCATCCCAGCTTATCTCTCTATATAAAATGCTCTGTGCATAATGAGTACCTTAAAAACAAACAAACAAAACTAGGGGGCCAAATGACCGCAAATTTGGCAACAAAACTCCTCACAATCCAAGGAGTGACCATCACTGAACCCCCCTGCCCCCCTCATGCTGAGGACACACAATGGCCCCCCTACCCTCATACTGAAGACACACAATGAGGGTTCCGAAGCAGCGGCAGCAATGGTTGCTGCTCCCTGCATGTCTCTCGGCCCCTAACTAACACTAAGGCAAGGGATCAAAGGGCAGAGGCTGAGGAGAAGGAGGAGGGGAGGAAAGGGAGAGGGGGGGAGCATAAAAGAGGGATGCGGGCCACACTCTGAGCACACACTCTGACTCTCTGCCCCCCTCCCCCCCCCCACACACACACTCCCACAGCACAAGGGGAGGAGGAAGGTGCCATGATGGGCAAAATAGGGACACACGAAACGGACATTGCTTGGAAAGTAGCCCCAAAGACCATCCAGCCCAACTTCATTTGGCAGTAAGGAAGACACCATCAAAGCCCTCACAATAGATGGCCAACCAGTTGGAAGAGAGCCCTAAAGGCCATCCAGACCAACCCCCTCCTTCCTTCCCTTTCTCTACTTCCCTTCCTTCTCCTTCCTTTACTTCTTTCCCTCCCTCCTCCTCCTCCCTTTCCTTCCTTCCTCCCTTCTTCCCCCTTTCTTCCCTCCCTTCCTCCCTTCCCTTCCTTCCTTTCCTTCCTTCCTTCTTTCCTTCCTTCCCTCCTTCCCTCCCTCCCTTTCTTTCCTTCCCCCCTCCCTTTCTTTCCTCTCCTCTCCTTTCTTCCCTTTTCCTCCCTTTCTTTCCTTCCCTTCCCTCCTTTCTTTCCTTCCTTCCCTCCCTCCCCTCCCCTTTCCCTCCTTCCTCCTCCCTCCCTCCCTTCCTTCCCTCCCTTCCTTCCTCCCTTTCTTCCTTCTTCCTTCCCTCCCTTCCTCCCTTTCTTTCTTCCTCTCCCTCCCTTTCTTCCTCCTTCCCTCCCTCCCTTCCTCCTTCCTTTCCCTCTTCCCTCCCTCCCTTCCTTCCCTCCCTTCACTTCCTCCCTTTCTCCTTCCTCCCTCCCTTCTCCCTTTCTTTCCTTCCTCCTCCTTCTCCTTTTCTTTTTCCTTCCCTCCCTCCTTCTCTCCTTCTTTCCCTCTTCCTCCCTCCCTCCCTCCCTTTCCTCCCTTCCTTCCCTCCCTTCCCTTCCTCCCTTTCTTTCCTTCTCTCCTTTCTTTCCTTCCTTCCCTCCATTCCCTTCCCTCCTTCCTTTTCCCTTCCCTCCCCTCCTCCCCTCCCTTCCCTTCCTTCTTCTTCCTTCCCTCCCTTTCTTTCCTTCCTCCCTTCCCTTCCCTCCTTCCTTTCCCTCCCTCCTTCCTCCCTCCCCTTCCTTCCCTCCTTCCTTCCTCCCTTCCTTACTTCCCTCCCTTCCCTCCCTCCCTTTCTTTCCTTCCCTCCCTCCCCCCCTCCCTCCCTTCCCTTCCTCTCCTTCCTCACCCCCCCAAAACCGTGCCTTTTTCAAATAACCCGGACCAACATAACATGCTGGAGGGGATTGGGGGGGGGATGAACCACCCATGCAGGAATTGTAGTTCACTTTGCATTCAGAGCTATTACCAAATTTCCCAAAACAAACAAAGCCTTTCTCAACCCAGGCATCGCTGGGTCCCAAGCTAGTCTATATAGATAAAAATGTAATGTTCGTTTGTGGAATTAACAAAACTCAAAAGCCAGTGGGCCAATTGACACCAAATTTGGACAGCATACACCCAACAACACAATGTATGTCCTTCACTCCGTTGTATCTGTTCTAGTAGGCTTCCTTTGAAGGTCTTCTCACACCTGCCAATTGTTTTAAGACCACTGACACAGTCCTGAAGATGCCCTGAAGATATAATTATACCTGTGAAATATGACTCAGTGATGGAACAATGATAAAACCAATAGACTTGCAGCTTTTCTTTCTTCAGAAGAACTTCAGAAGAGCTCAGTGTTTAGGGTGTTCCTTCAAAAGCACACAAGGTTGGGGAGATGTTTAGTACTATTCGCTTCCATGTTTAAAAAAAAAAGAGGGGGCCAAGGGACAAGAGAGGGGGCCAGGGGACAGTTTCATCTTGTTTCCTGCATATGTCATCAGCTGGGGACCCTTCCCCCCAGCATCAAGTGCGGCTCTGGGACAGAGTGAAGAGAGAGGGGCCAGGGGACAGTTCCATCTTGTCTCCTGCATATGTCATCAGTTGAGGAACCCTCACCCCTGGACCAACTGCTGCTCTGCGCCAGACTGAAGAGAGGGAGGGGCAGGGGACAGTTCCATCTTATATCCTGCATATGTCATCAGCTTAGGACCCCCCCCCTTGCACCAACTGCTGCTCTGGGCCAGACTGAAGAGAGAGGGGGCCAGGGGACAGTTCCATCTTGTCTCCTGCATATGTCATCAGTTGAGGAACCCTCACCCCTGGACCAACTGCTGCTCTGCACCAGACTGAAGAAAGGGAGGGGTAGGGGACAGTTCCATCTTATATCCTGCATATGTCATCAGCTTAGGACCCCCCCCGCACCAACTGCCGCTCTGGGCCAGAGTGAAGAGAGAGGGGGCCAGGGGACAGTTCCATCTTGTCTCCTGCATATGTCATCAGTTGGGGACCCCTTCCCCCAGCACCAACTGCTGCTCTGGGCCAGAGTGAAGAGAGAGGGGGCCAGGGGACAGTTCCATCTTGTCTCCTGCATATGTCATCAGCTGGGGACCCCTCTCCTCAGCACCAACTGTGGCTCTGGGCCAGAGTGAAGAGAGAGGGGGCCAGGGGACAGTTCCACCTTGTCTTCTGTGCTATGCTAATAATATAATATAATATAATATAATATAATATAATATAATATAATATAATATAATACAATGTAATATAATGTAATATAATATGGTATAATATAATATTTATATTATAATGTAATGCAATATAATATAATATATAATTATATATTTATATTACATGTAATATTACTAATAATTTACAATATAATGGTTTGGTACAATATAGTAATATTTAATACTGATATTGTACTATGCTAATAATATAATATATTGTATGTATGTAATAGGCCTGTTTGATCAAGAAAAAATTTGTTTCTAAAATCGATTTGTAATTGGGGTGTTTTTTTGTTTCGATATTTAAAATAATTACAAAACTTTCCAAAAAAAGTTTCGGTATTTACGAAATTTCGTAAATATTTACAAAACATTTTGTAAAGATGGCGCCCTTTTTTTTTCAATATTTTTAAAATATTTTTTAAATTTAATTATTAATTTAGTAGAATAGGGAGGATAAATTATTATTGAGGGAAGGCAGGCACTCACTCTGGCGGGCCCTCTCACTCGCCGCTCGCTTGCCGCTCGCCCTCTCGCTCGCCCTCTCGCTCGCCGCTCGCCCTCTCGCTCGCCGCTCGCCCTCTCGCTCGCCGCTCGCCCTCTAGCTCGCCCTCTCGCCCTCTCGCTAGGATGGGTTCCTTCCAGGAGGGGCTCTTTTTCCCAGGCTGCCAAACTACAACTCCCAGGATGCTACAGCATTGAGCCAATGTGGTGCCAAACCTCATCCAGGCTGCAGTGTAGATGGCTGCAGGATGGAGGGGTTTCCTGCCTCGAATTGAGAGAGAGAGAGAGAGAGAGAGAGAGAGAGAAGAGGAAGCAAGTGAGACGTTTCCAAGGCTCTGCTGATCTGCTTCTGCCATGGCTGAGAAAGAAGGGCACAATGGGGGCTGCCTTTCCAACCAGGAGGGAAAGAAAGGGGAGCCTTCTTTGGAAGAGAGCTCAGAACCCCCCTGCGAAAGGTGAGAAAGAAGAGAAAAGGAAAGAAAGAGAAGGAGACCTCCCTCTCGCCCTCTCGCTCGCCCTCTCGCTCGCCCTCTCGCTCGCCGCTCGCCCTCTCACTCGCCCTCTCGCTCGCCGCTCGCCCTCTCACTCGCCCTCTCGCTCGCCGCTCGCCCTCTCACTCGCCCTCTCGCTCGCCGCTCGCCCTCTCGCTCGCCCTCTCGCTCGCCCTCTCGCTCGCCCTCTCGCTCGCTTGCTCAGCCGGCGCGGAGAGAGGAGAGCTCCCAGCAAGCCAGGCGGCCATCTTATGTATTTCCGAAATGGACGGAAATACAAAATTTTTTGGCGCCTGCCGTTTCGATATTTAAAAACACTTCCAGGTTTAAAAATAAGTTTTGTAATCGTTTTGTAATTCAAAAATTAACGAATTTTTTAACGAATTACGAATTAACGAAACGAATTGCACAGCCCTAATATATATCTTGTAAGCCACTCTGAGTCCCCTTCAGGGTGAGAAAGGAGGCATATAAATGTTGTAAATAAATAAATAAATAAATAATATCTGCCATACATATCAGGCCTGGGTAACAACGGAAAAATTTGTTTCTAAAATCAATTCGTTTTTTGGGGTTTTTTGCGTTTCGATATTTAAAAGAATTCCAAATTTTTTTAAAAAAGTTCGATATTTACGAAATTTCGTAAATGGTAAAAAAATTACAAAACAATAACGAAACAATAACGAATCGATTCGTTAATGGCGGACGCGACAGCGCAATACGCTAAAAAACCTCCAAATGGGACAGGGGGAACTTCTGAAGCTTCCCTCTCCCTCTGTTGTTGACTGTTGGTGTGATATTATAATTTTTTTTCACTAATTAAAAAAAAAACAACTATAAAACTTGCCCCAGACATGCGGAAATAATAACGAAACGACCTCAAACCAATAACGAAACGAATACA